AGGACATGTTTTTCCATCTCCGATGGATCGCTCCGATGCGATCGACCTACCGCTCCGATGCTATCTACCTGCCGCTCCGATGCGATCGACCTACCGCTCCGATGCTATCTACCTGCCGCTCCGATGCGATCTACGTGCCCGCTCCAATGCCACAGATCGCCCAAAGACTTTAAACTAATCCACCCGTCCCTTCAGATTCTGATAGATGGAGAACCTGATCAGAACCAGAACAGCAACAATGACCTCCTGCTTTCAGACAGTTTAGATCTTAAAGGTGTCTCCACATTTCTTTTACAAAACTAAGAGGCCTCTGTCATTACAGTTATGGTTGATGCAATTAAATAAACTGGTACCGGTTGTGCAGGTTTGAACAGATAATTAGCCGTCTGTCCCCGCAGGGCCATGATTCATCGTCCCATTGATGACAGAACCAGTTCCTGCAGGGTGTGGAGGAGCAGCAGGTCAGAACATCAGTCTGCAGGACATGAACTCTGGCTCCTGATTAGCTGAGAACCCGGGTCTCCGAGTCGGTTCCCTGAAAACAGCAGCCGTAATGCTGAAACCTCAGGAGACATGACCTCTGGGTCCTGATAGAGCCGAGAGGGAGGGGCCCAGCTGTCCCTGATCTGGGAGCAGCTACAGGCTAATGTGATTAGGAGGAGGAGACGCCTCCTGGATGGAAGGACTCTTTGAACAAACATGGCTGACACCCTCCTGGATAAATGAAAACATGTCAGTTTGATTAAATGGTTTGAAACGTTTCCAGTTTGCTAGCAGCATGGGGTCAACGTTTAGAAATAAAGAGGTAATGAGATCAGCAGCATCACCGACGCCTTCCTGCTGAAACGGAAGCAGAGAAGTTTCACCAACATTCTGATTCGCATGAATAGATTTTAAAACTGTTGGCTGATCTAAATAGTTAAAGATCCCCCCCCCCAGGTTCGCTCCTTCCTAGTCTGGTTTACAGAAACACAGAACCTGATTTCAGACAAGAAGTCTGACAGAACCTCTGCAGATGAAATGGGAGTTTAGAGTAAATGAAACGTGGCTGATTGATAAAAAGAAATATAAAAGTAGATAAATGGATTAGTAAAACAATTGATCGGTGCAGCCCCACATAAGAGAAGGATCCTTTGCTGCCTGCAGCAGTCGGACCGCTTCCTGTTCAGGCTGCTGAACCAAAGTTCCCCTCAGCAGCAATATCTTCCCAGAGGTGCAAACCTGTAGGACCATGAGAAGAAGCCCAGCTGTGTTCTTCATCCTGCCGCGGCCTGGACCACTGACCATAGATCTGCAGCAGCGTTTATACGGTGGTGGTTTAATACTGAGTCACCATTAAACCCAGTTTAACCTGCCGCACCAACCTGGACGTTACCGACCATCAGCCTGTTAACCGTCATCAGAACTCCAGCGCTGATGTTTGGAGCAATTACAGAAGAAGCTCATCAGTCAGTTTGTTTCTACGACGACTATTAGGGCCAGATTTATTTTTCTATTTCGAGAATAAAGTCATAAAATTATGAGAATAAAGTCGGAATTTTATGAGAATTTTATGACAACTCTTAGGAGAAGCATTTTCTTCCCTAAAATGAGGAATGTGGAGCGTCGTGTGAAGCTATACTTAATCGTCAAACTGGGCAGGAAGTCAAAGTGGACTCTGGCTGCTGATTGGTTGAGCTGCTCGGCCGTCATCTGCTGGGCGGAGCTCCAAGCTTTCTGAAACGAGTTGTTGTATGATGACTTTATTCTCAAAATAAAGAAATATTTAAAAATCTCTATCGTGGCCCTAACACTCTGTTGTAGTTTTATTTTATTCTCTTTGCGTTTTAAACTTAGAAAGTGTGGAAGTCCTGCTGCCAGTGGAGCAGCAGCAGGACTCACCTGCCAGGACTCTACCTGTAGCCAGAAGTTCCTGCAGGTGAAGAGCTTCCTCCTCTAATCACCCACTATTGTTCCCAAGCTTCCTAGGTTTGCTGCGGCATGCTGCAGCTCGTCTGCAGGAACTCCTGTTTTCCTCACGCGGATCAGCGTTTCATCTTCCGTTATCACATTCCGGGGATGACGGGCAGGAATGAGAGCGGAGGCACGCCTTCCGCCTGCTGCAGGCCAGGAAAGGTTGCTTCCACAGCAACTGTTGCTGACAGAGCGGCTGTTAGGAACCAGTCTGCTGCTCAGGAACACGGAGGCTTGGAGAAGGCCTACTGTAATCAGACAACTGGAACCATGGCTGAGCAGCTTCAGGAAAGATGCGAGCTGATTCCCGTCCAGAGCCTGGTCTAACGGAGGGGTGTGAGGACGCCAAGGCGTGACATGTGACTGGATGAGAGATGAGATGTAACCCTAACCCTGGGAATAAAAACACGCTAAATCCAGACAGTTTAGAGAGTTTGTTTTTCCCATAGCCTCACTAGCGTCAGCAGCTTCAGCAGGTTTTGGGTGGCGTTAGCTGACGCGGCGCTGCGGCGCTGCGGCCAAACGATTGATTAGGAGGACAGACGGTGGAGCAACCAAAGGTTTCCCTTTGATCCAGGCGGATCCTGCTGGAGCCTCAAACAGTGACTGGTTACTGTTTGTTCCTGCAGCAGCTGGGATGTTCTCAGTTCTGGTAGAATGAGGCTTCCTGACCCCGAAACCCCCCCCCAGCTGAACCTCCATCTTTTATGATGATTCTCAGTCATCCAGGTCAGAGTCATTGCAAAAAAAAAAAAAAGTTAAAATCAATCCTCTGGACTTTGAAGACGTTTCTCTTCCATCCAGGAAGATTTTTCAATCCAAAATGTCAGAAATAGCGTTTAGTTCCAGGTTTTATCCAGCAGCCCAACAAAGCCTGGTTTTAGTTTAGAAAACATGCAAATAGAAACGGATGAACGGGTCCCCCCCTTTGGAATGGGGGTCGTTTGGCTTCTTTGTTAGCCTGCAATGCCCCATACCTGTCTATGTCTCTGAAAGGGGGGTCGTTAGAGGGAATAGTTGTCCTGGCTGAATAGGTGAGGTCTTCTGTTCTCCTGTAAAGGGGTGGGGGGGTTGCCACCCCATCTTTCACACTTAAACATGCACAGATCTAGAGTGGGTAGATGTAAACAGACTGGAAGCAGTGCCATCCTCTCTGGATGCGTCTTCATTAGAACCTCTTTGCTGTTGTTTGTGTGTTTGAGACCAAACACTGTGAAACAAAGATGTCTGACATGAGTGGCGCCGGAGGATCAGAGGAGGAGACACAGCGCTTCATGACGGCTGAGAAAATAAGGAGGTTTCCAGGCTGGAGTCTCTGTGACGAAGTGATGATCCATTTGATTCCTGAATGACTCCTTCAGCTGCTGCTCAGGTTTACCACAAACGGAGCTCAGTTATTTAGTCCTGTTAGGAGTTCCTGCAGGAAGGTCCCTGTTCAAATAAGTCCCCAGGACTCCCTTTAAAAATGTCCTTTATTGGACCCCAAACTGATACCTGGGGTTTAATTCTGGACAACCTTCTTCAGACGGAGGCTTTTTCCAACCTGCTGGAATTGTCTATTTAAACGGACCATCAGCAGCTTCAGTGGCTGTGGGGAGAGACAGGACTTCCAAAGTCTCTGTCCAGCTGCTGGTGAACAGCAGCGCTCACTGATGGAGCAGAAACATTAAAGGCAGATCTATCATGATAGAACTAATCAGACCAGCAGGGCTGCTCTGCCCGTTAGAACTAAGCTTCATTCACTCTGAGTGGATCAAGTGAAGATGATTGGGAGGTCTGGGTCCCACTGAAGTAGGTCAGAGGGGGAACCGGTGTTAAATTCCAGTGTGGGGGAGTTTTCCCACATGAGCCACAGTGGGGCTGTCAGGCTTCATGTTTCAGGAAGAATCCTGAGGATCTTTGTGCTGCTGTCGCAGGTCCGATCCGTTCCAGCAACACCGCAGTCAGCACCCTGGACAAAGACACTTCCTGCCTCTGAATGGATGAAAGCCTGCTGCAGGTCCAGACCAGAGACATGTGACCCGACGGACGGGCAGCATGAAGACCACTTCCAGAAGTCTCCAGAGCGTGTTAAACATGATCCACATGGTGAGGCCCCCGGCAGCTGCAGGAGAAACCAGCCTGCGCTGGAATTACCGGAACCACAGAGGCGCTGGTTGGAGTAACAGCGGCAGGTCCGTGACGAAGCCTCCATCCATCAGACCGAACCAAACACCTGAACATTCCTGCAGCGCCTCAACAAGCCTCAACAGCTCTGATTTACAGACACAGACTGAGAGCCTGAACACATCCTGCTCTCAGGTTAGACTGCCAGCACTCCACAGATTCCAGGTTCACTTTATTCCCAGTCAGTAAAGAATCATTCCAAGTCCTTAATCTAGTCAGGTCTGGATCATCAGGCTTATAGGTTCACTTTATTCCCAGTCAGTAAAGAATCATTCCAAGTCCTTAATCTAGTCAGGTCTGGATCATCAGGTTAATTAATCCAGTCAGTTCTGGATCAAAGTCATTAATCGAGTCAGTTCTGGATCATCAGGCTTATTAATCCAGTCAGTTCTGGATCATCAGGTTTATTAATCCAGTCAGTTCTGGATCATCAGGCTTATTAATCCAGTCAGTTCTGGATCATCAGGCTTATTAATCCAGTCAGTTCTGGATCATCAGGCTTATTAATCCAGTC